CCTTCTGGCCCAAAGAATGCAAAAGATGATTAAAGATCAGCAAAACAATGACAACACCCTCGCGAACAGGCGCACAAGCAATGATTGAAGCCACTCTGCACCACGAGTTCTCTGAAGTTTTGAACAGACACTGAGCCGCGCGCATGCGTTCAAAGGCGGTCCGCCGAAGGGCCAACACCTGCGAATGGTCGCCGGCTTCATGCTTCATCGTGCGTCCTATAGCTAGATCTGGGCTGAGGAATGTTGTAGCGGCCAGCATTGAATAGCCATAGACTTCACCCAAGGCCTCCGTAGCCCATACACAATCCATGCCTCCACCTTCGAGGCCGCGGAGACCGTGGCAGAACGCACGGTCCTTTCTAGAAGCGCCTCAAAGAAAGTCGCACTAACACACCAATCAGTGTAGAACCAGCGCAAGAGATAGTGCCTTTTTGAGGCGATTTCAGAGGGGCGGGGGAGGGTTGGGCGGGCCTCGCTCTAAAAAGTTCGACCTAGCCAGAGCATGCCATGAAACCAAAAGAATCTTGCATCTTGCCGATTCCCACTCTGGTCTGGGTGGGAGCTCATGCTGCAGCGGCTCATCCGAACTCCGGCCGGCACCTTCTCTCCGAACATGTCTCTTGTGTAGCAGCGCTTGCACTCCTGCGAGTCCATATGGTCAAAAGTAGTGCATCTGTCTTTAAGAGGGGAGGAGCGCTTGCGTTGAAGCCCCGTCGTTCTCCTGGATTTCCCTGGTCGTCGGTCGACCCGGTTTCCACCGTCACCACCTAAGCAATGGCACTCGGGGGCCCTTCTTTGCAACAAGTCGCAACGCACTCGACGTGCCCAACTAATTACGTTCCACGACAGTCGCGTGTGCTGTTCTCAGTCTTTGCGCGTTTTTCCTGCCCGTTGAATCGAAGCGGAAAGCCCTTGCAGGCGCCGAACGCAGGTGCCCTCCAGGACCACGTACAACCTGAGGAGGGCACGCAGCACTAAGTTACCTGCTGGGCGAGCGGTACGAGTAGAAACTGTTTAGGGCCGGGCTGATCTAATGCAATTTCAACACATTTCAACCCGAGCTGGCAGAGGATCTTGGCTTGTAACTTGCCTTGCTGGCTTTTGGACCTTTGGACCTTTAGGCATTTGGGCGCGCCACTCCGAGCCGGACTCACCCTGGCGGACGATGACCTGCAAGAGCAAACCGCATCGTGCAATGTGGAGATCATCGAAAAGTCGATACAGCACAACATCACCTTGACAACCCGCTCAACATCTAGGATCCCTGAAGCCCATATTCGAGGCCTCACCCTCTTCGAAGCACTTCTTTTCCAACCTGGGAGGGGGGGGGGAGGAGCAAATCAGCTTTGGAGCACCCTTTTTGCGCACCCCTAAACCCTATAACTATAACCCTATAACCCTAAACCCTAAACCCTGCACTCGGAACAAGGCAGTGGCTTGCTTTGCTTGCCCTGGATCTGAAGCCCCTGGCGCATCTGCCAGCTGAGCGATCTCTTCGTCATCGAGCCTGAGTGTTCAAGGCCATTAAAGAATGCCGCTTAGACCACCCTGAACTGTGCCAACGAAAAAGGAAATTTCTGAGCCCGACGCGTGCGATCTGCTTTTCGCGCCTGGTGGTATTGCATGTGGCCTTTGCAACTGAACTCGACAAGATTGAACCATCCGATGCCTGCATCTTGAGACGCTCAGCTTCTTGAACAGATGCAGGAAATTTTCAACACTGACACCGATCCCAAAATCACAACAAAATCCAGGAAGGTCCCAAAAGTCCCGGCAAACCAAGGCAAGCTCCGCCGAAGTTGGTAGCTGGGATGGGGCGCACCCTGGCGCCTGTTCCGGGCGCTGATTTTTGCTTTGTTAACAGGTTTTTACGTTTCGGGTTTTGATTGGCAGCCGCTTTTCCTTTCTTCGTTTAGGAATTGGGTTCCTTCAAGAATTCAGGTCTGAAAGGTGTTGTGCTTTAGTTGCCACCTGCAGGATGGGAGTAAAAGAGCTGTTCCTCTGCCTTCTATTTTCAAACATGTCGGAGCTTGTTGCGAAGTGATGCATGACAGTCATCGGCCCACGGCTGTTCTTGGAACCAAAAATAACGAGCACCCTCCTGCACAAAAATTCCCGAACCGCCCGAGCGCAAAAGTTGCGATCTTTAACCCGATTTGTAGCGAATGCTACAAACATTCGTCTCGCAGCTCTCATCATGAGTCCAAACCGTTCAGAACCGTGATGTGCGTTTTTATGCAAACAACGAACACGAAGAGACAAGGCTGTCAGCCGCCCTAACCCCCGTGCCTCTGCATAGCCCATTAGCAGCCATGGCTTGCAGGATTGCGCAGGCTAAGAAAATGATATGGCTGGGGTAGAAAAAGTCTCGTTTTCTCTGATTGATCTCTCAGGGTGCGACAATGTCCGAGCTTCGCTGGCTTCTCTACCGTGTGCGCGGGATCGCCTGCTTAAGTCTCTCGCAGAGCCGATTATAAGTCTAGCAGCGGACCCATCATGAAGTGCCAAACGGCTTGGAAGTTTTGTGGGATTCACGCGGCGTACTTCGAGGCTATCAGAAGCAAATTGACTCAAAGCCCAGCAAGCCCCCTTCACAACGTCGATCACGAAATCTGCTGTTTGAGAGCCTCGTGTTATAATCTGCGGTCTGCAGCCCTCGTGGTGTTTGGGCTTGGATTGGCGTGCGCGCTCTTTAATCCGGCGGGTGTGTATCACAACTGCCCCACGCACATCTAGCAGAGCAATACATTGATGCCTCAAGGAACCAAGCTGTTGCATGCCTGGTGACTCGGTGACCTGCAAGACGGACACTTAGGTACAAAAAAACGTAGTTTTGCACGGGCGTGTCGCAATCAAACTCAAGAACCAAAAAACCACGCGACGTGATGAGCAGGGTGATGCTTGGATGCAGGGCTGGACATCAGGCTACGTCGGAAGTTGGGGTTAATCGCTCGTACCGCAAAGATGCCACAACGTTGAAACTTGAGCGCGCAACTCATGTTTGCCAGACCCTGCTTGCAACCATTAAGACTCAAAACGTTCCGATGACATTCTATCGGTGTAGACCCGGAAACAACAGAAAAATCATTGCCTTAGCAAGTTGCCGTGCGCAAAAGCGCTGCCGGCATAGACCCCCAAGCAGTGTACGACCACTTCAAGAATCTTCCACGAGAGCGCACGTCAGCAACACGCCAGGACCTCTGCAAGAAAATTCTAAGATGACCCCAAAAAGAATGTGCTCCCACCTCGATCCCGTGCACCCTTGCAGGATTGAGTCGCTCCGCGTTGCGACGACGTATAGCGGGGACGCACCTTGCTGACATTAACTCTCTCTTGGACTGTTGCATGGGCTGCCTTCATGCGTCCGTCGTCTAAGCGATGTGCATTTTCCGGGGTTGCAAGCAGCGCTCTCACCTCTGCCTCGTGGTCCTGATCCTGGCGCGAACTGCCGTCTCTTGAGGGTCGCTTGTTGGTCTTGAGTGAGCCTTGGAGTGTTAAGTTTCAACACTTGTGATGCTAAAACACCAGTTTCAGGCATATTCTACACCCCAACAGTTGGGGGTCGAGAGCGCAGGCGCCACGATGCGAAAAAAACACATGCGGTTTGGACGCCGTCCGATGTCTGCGGGCTCTCCGTCGGATATATGCGCGTGCTGCGGGGTCCATCTGCCAAATGCTTCTGAACGTCGGAACCTGGCAGTGCAAACACAGCTCGAGGAAACATTCCTTTTCCCACGGTCGATAGCACTCACGTCTGGTAGCAGCATCTGATCCAAACCACCGGGCCTCGCAGGCTGCTTCGTTGGCGATTTCCCTTCTCTAGTTAACCCTACTCCATCCTAAATCCAAAGCCCGCCCATTTGCTTGAGTGCTGGGGAGCTGCACAGGTCCCTGGAGATTCTTGCGGTCATTGAGGCTCAGGTTGAGGGATCAAGTCGACGGTATCCTGAATCAACCCTAACCCCTTAAGCCTAAAAGCTCGACATTCAGCTTGGAGTGCGCCGCCACTCCCTCAGGGCATGTTCCTCTTGAGCATTTGTTCGTTGCAGTTGTTGGTGTTTCAGCGATGGTAGGCCCGCCCCGTAGCTGCTACAGTGGAGCACATGGAACTCCTCGGTCGAACATCATGATCGATTTCTTGCCACCAAAAGCGAGCTGAGGGGAGGGGGGGGGGCGGCTGTTCAAAAGTGATGGGGCTGATGAAGATGACACCAAGATAGCTGAACTCAGGTTAAGGGTCGGACGATGCTTTTGTCGGAAGATCTGGGCTTTGTGCAAGCGAGACCTCCTTGGGCACTTGTTTCAGATTGATCCCTCTTTGGGATTTAGGGTTTGAGGGTTTGTGGGCTTTTAGCGTTTAGGGTTTTGGGCCGAAAGGGCCCAGTCAAGGCGTTGCAAGCGCCCAGGAGGATGCCAACATTAAGGATCGGATTGCTTGAGGAGCTGAGCGAGGCCAGGAACCCCGGTTTGCATTTGGTGAACTTGACCCTAAACTCTAAACCCTAAACCTTAAGCCCCTTAGACAAAAAACTACAGCAAGCTCTGGTGGGCTTACGACCAGAACTCCCGGATGCTTCGGCAACCGAAACCATCAAGAAGCGTCTAGGACTCTACGAGACTAGGGGACTAGGGTTTCGGGCTTCGGGTTTGCGTTTGGGCTGGGGGTGCAAGCGAATCTGTAGCTTTGTTTGCACCTACAGCTTCGGAATTCATCTTACATCCGCCCAAACAGAGCAGGAAAACAAAAACATCAGACTGCAGGTCTACAGCGTCCCAGGCAAGCCCTCTCGTAGGCTACTTGAAGCTTGATATGCCTCAACAAATCTCCAGATGCTGAGGATGAAGGATGCCCTAACCCCAAGTTCCAAAACCTCCCTAGGCCCTTACACCCTCAACCACTCAAGCCCTAAACCCTAAACCCTAAGCCCTACTTACTGTAAACCCCTCAAAGCCTCAAGCTTCACACAGTGCGCCCATCTCTGGTCTCCTCCAACAGCGGCCTAAACAAGCGCTGGGTGCTTCGACGTGCTACGCGCACTCAGCGGCCCACCAACCCCATGTGGTGGGTGGCCTTGTGGCGGCGTGAAGTTTGGGGAGCTCAAGTTTAGGGTTCAGGGGTTTAGGGGGTTTAAGGGTTTAGGGTTTCGGGTTTAGGGCACACCGCCATGAATTTCTTCAGTAGGTTTTCATTTGACGAACTCACTGCCTAGGTTACAGCCAAATACTAAAGGCCTCCTCTGAAAGCGAGGGGCATCTTCCGCCCTGAACCTGAAACTCTTTTCACCGAAGCCCTGAACTCGGCTCTCAAGAAACGCTGTGGATCCTTACAAGTTGCAGCTTGATTTCTTGGGGTTCCTGAAGTGAAGCCGGAGTAAACACCCTGAACGCTAAGCCCCAAACCCCTAACCCTTCGCGCCTGAACCCTAAACCAATAACCCCTTAACCCTTAACCCTAGACCCCTAAACCCCCCCTTAAGGAAGGTGATGGCTTTGAAATGCACCTCAGGCTCCTCCCAGCTGCCATCGACAATTCCCTCAGAACTCCGATGCCCTAACCCCAAACCCTAAAAGCCAAAGCCTATTACTAAGCCGTAAATCCCTAAACTCTATAAGCCCTTAAAGCCCTAAACCCCTAAACGCAAAACCCATACACTATATAGACCTTCAACCCCCTTAACCGCTATAAGCAAGCGTAGGGAGCTGGCCGAAAAGTGTCCTGAATCCGCTGTGAGTGGCGACCTGCGCGGCTGGAGACAGGGAACTCTTTTATGATAAATGTCCCTACCCCCGCCAGGTTTAGGGTTTAGGGTCATCCCTGCCCCCCCCCCCCCCCCCCCCCCCTACTGGGCTTAGGGTGTAGGGTACGACCCCGTTTTTTTGGTCTTGGCCCTTTTTTTGGCGGGGTGTGTCCTTCCTCTCATCCCCGAATCCTGAGCCCCAAACCCTAAACCTCCAACCCCAAACTCCAAACTCCCCACCAAGCGCGGCATGCACAAGGGCCGCCTTCATTCCACCGGTGCCTCGCCCCATTTGTGGTTGGCCTTGGTCGAACGGGCATCAAGTATACTCTGTCTGACATTGCGTGACTGAGTTCCACAGAGCGGCCCTTGATGGGCTGCCCAATCTGGCCAATGCCCATGCCACCAGCCATTCCGCTCATGCCTGAACAGCAAGCCCCAACAGCAACAGCTTTTTCTGGTCCCTGGGTGAGGCTCAGGCCACTAGGGTGTGAACCATTCTGCATTTCCCCAGCCTGTCCAGAACACTTGACGCTTACAAGCTCGATTGAGATGCTCGGAGGCTGCCCACAAACTCCCAAATCCCCAACCTTATGCCACCAAACCTCTAACTTCCAAAGCCCCCCAAACCCTAAGCCCCGGGCATTGCGCGGCTGCATCTGCCCCATCTGGCCCATCTGCATCTGGCCCATGGGCTGGCCCCTGCCCATCTGGCCCATTTGGCCTTGGTCGAACGGGCATCAAGTATACTCTGTCTGACATTGCGTGACTGAGTTCCACAGAGCGGCCCTTGATGGGCTGCCCAATCTGGCCAATGCCCATGCCACCAGCCATTCCGCTCATGCCTGAACAGCAAGCCCCAACAGCAACAGCTTTTTCTGGTCCCTGGGTGAGGCTCAGGCCACTAGGGTGTGAACCATTCTGCATTTCCACAGCCTGTCCAGAACACTTGACGCTTACAAGCTCGATTGAGATGCTCGGAGGCTGCCCATGTATGTGATTTTGATATCGCGCCAGAATTGCGTTGTTGGTCTAGCTTCCTGATGTCCAATCTACGTCACGCGTGCAACAGAGCGATTTCAATAAATTCGAGCCCAACCCCGAAAATTTCGTCCACTACGATCCAGCAGCAACCCTAAACCCTAAACCCTAAACCCTAAACCCTAAACCCTAAACCCTAAACCCTAAGTAAGTCTGTGCGCCTTGGTGCAGCTGTCAGGTTGCACGAACGGATGCTTCGGAACCCTATGCACAGACACGAGAACGACCATCAAGCCAAACAGTCTCAATACCCGAGACCTGAGGCGCATGTATTCCTAAAAGACTAAACCCTGAACTCCCAGACAAGATCAGCTGCCTGCACGCGTGCGGCCAGCGACTCCAACGATGTTAGCAGGACGGCCTGCGAGGGCTCCGCTGAGTTTTGGGGGTCGAGCAGTCAGGATTCCCTAAGCCCTATAAACCCTAAACCGAAGGCTAGAGGGAGTCAGGTTCAGAGGGGCAAGTGATGTGTCGTATTGAGATAAAGCCTACCAAAAACCACGCGGTCACCCCAGCCATGCAGTAGAAGGGCGTGTGCTCATGAAGTCCCGTCCATCTACGGCCGGCTGGTACGGTATCAAAGAAACATTGAATCTCTGAGCCAAGGATTACCTGGCTACCTGAATCACACATCTCACCAAAACTCTCCTGAAGCTGCTCATCAGAAGCATGTCTGCCATGCCCATAAGGCGTCAAGCCTTTATGAGTACCGGCTTGAACCCTAAACCCTAAACCCTAAACCCTAAACCCTGAACCCTTCTGTGAGTTGGCACCCAACGAGCACGCACATCGCAGCAGCAGGCAGCAGCACTCATCGTCATCATCGTCATCATCGCCACCATCACAACTCTGATTTCTGCTGTGACTTCTTAAAAACTCTTGCTCCCAAACCCTAAACCCTAAACCCTAAACTCTAAGTGTTATTACTATTGTCATTTTTTGATACTGTTCTTAGCACTAGTCTTGCTATTGCTCATCTTCTTGCTATTGAGATCAGGCCCCCCAAAAAGGCTGCCCGAGGTCTGGATTCAACCCTAAACCCTAAACCCTAAACCCTAAACCCTAAACCCTAAACCCTAAACCCTAATCAGGCCTCCCGCTCCCTGAAGCTCTTGGTCCTTGAGGGCGGAAGGGGGTAGGGCCTAGGGTAGGGCTTAGGGCTTAGGGCTTAGGGCAGGGTTTAGGGTCTAGGGTTTTTAGGATTTAGGGTGAAGTTCAGGGTTTGGGGATTTAGGGGTCTAGGCGATGCTAGGGTTTAGGGTTTGGGGCAGCGGAGGTGGGGCAGGGTTTAGGATTCAGGCCTGGACACTCTCAGCTTTAAGCCACAACACCCTGAAAGAAGGTGGCAACAAAAACGGGTGGAAGGCTTCTGGGGCTTCAAGGGTTTATAGGGGTTAGGGTTTAGAAGGTATAAGGTTTAGGGTTTAGGGTTTTTCGAAGGTTTCTCGGAGCCATCAGAGTGCGAACAGCGGCCTCATTCTTAGGCAATGTAAAGCTGCCGGCTTGTCTGTCTTTTCTCCGACGGCCTTGTCGTGGTTGTCGGCTCTCATCACACAACAGCTCTGCAAACACGACCTAGGACCAAGAACCCAGACAAGGTGAATTGAAATGAAGAGCTCAGACTCTGCAAGCAAGTCGACTGAGTGGCCTGTCCGCTCGGGCAAGTACCCAGAGCTCATCAGACTATCATGCTGCTACGTGCCCTCAGCACTCAACGATCTTGAATGACTGCGCACGTTCAAGCCAATGTTTATCACCCGGGCTAGCTGTCTCCACGACGCGTGCGCCCTTTGACTTGTCGCAAACGCCCACATGGTGTTTGTAGTTGGATGTAGAGTGGTGCTCGTACCGGTCACTGAGATGGTTGGAAAAGGTTGCGCCAGGCACTTCTTGGCTCACATTCAATTTGTCACATTTTGCCTCCAGGCCTCCTGATGCGCGTCAAGGACCTCATGGTCCCGTAGAAACTGGAGTGTAGGTTAAACCGGTTTTCAGGGCATTCGGCCTCCGACAAAACACACAGGGGAATGGCAAAGATCGAGGGGAGGCTTCTGGAAAGAGGCGCCCAGAAATTAAAAGCCCCAAAAGTCCATCCTTAAACACCCTAAACCCCAAACCGCGAATTTAAACAAAAAAAAAAATAAAAATAAGAAACTACAACCTTCAAAAACCCTAAGCTCCAAAAACAGCCCAAAGCCTTAAAACCTCCAACTCTAAACCCCTAGACCAAGGCCCTAAGCCCCTAAACCCCTAAACCCTAAACCCAAAAGCCACGAAGCCAGCAAGTCGGAATCCTGAGACCATGGCCTCTCAGCCCTAAACCCTAAACCCTAAACCCCAGGCAGTGTTCAAGGTTTGGGGTTTCAGGACCCCAAGGCCCGCAAGGGCCTTTAGGGTTTGGGGTTTAGGGTTTAGGGTCCAACAAGTCTCTCACTGGGCCAGCCCGACTCGCGCTGCAACGTGGCTAGTAGCGTGCGAAGCGAAGTCACCTGGCAAACGCGCTTAAGGGCATATGGGGTATCAAGGGGCTTTTATAAACCCTAAACCCTAAACCCTAAAACCTAAAGCCTAAACCCTAAACCCTAAAACCTAAAGCCTAAACCCCAAACTCCAAACCCTAAAGCCTAAACCCCTTAAATTGGGCTTAGGGTCCGCAAGTTTCGGATGCGGGAGCGAAGCAAGAAGGCGGCTTGAAAAAACTCGTGTGGAGGGGGGTCGACCCAAGTTCTGGGCTCACCCTAAACCCTAAACCCTAAACACTATCTTTTTGGGGCCTGTTTACGGTTTGTCCTTAGCTGGTAGACCTCGGCTTCCGCCCCAACATAGTGAGAAAGCCGTACGTCAACTCGAATCCCTTCAAGGTTTAGGGTTTAGGGTTTAGGGTTTAGGGGCCCTAAACCCCCAAACCCAACACCCCTGCAACTTGAAGCCTAAAGCCTGCCTTACACCCAGACCTGAACAAACTTTGTTGCGCTCCCTCTCCTCTTCACCCAAAGATCCCTGACACAAGTCTCACCCTAAACGTTTTGGGTTTAGGGTCTAAAACCTAATGAGACCCCAATCTTTAAACCCTCACAAGTCTCACAAGTTCTACAGCGCAGCCCATGCGTGCACTGGAACTCAGCATGAAAGTCCGGCTCTCGCAGCCTCCCCATATCTGAGCACAGGGCTTTAGAGGCAGGGTGTAAGTGTATGTAAGCGTTTAGGGCTTTAAGGGCTTTCATAAACTCATGGGTTTAGGGTTTGGGGTTTGGGGTTTAATTAGGGTTTAGGATCGACTCATGGGTTTAGGGTTTTTGGGTTAAGAGTATACGGGGTTTAGGGTTTTGGGTTTGGGGTTGGGGCCCGCCAACAGCCAGACAAGCGTGCCTCTGCCGCACGCTGCATCTCGGCCTGATATCGGCTCAGCCTACATAAACCCTACAGGGACCCCCTTGCTGTACCACCTTCTTGGTAGCCCAGTAACCATATTACAAGAAGGGTACCCTAAACCCTAAACCCTAAACCCTTTTTGGTACTCATTACTATAAGGGAACCCATAACCCAAAAAGGGCACCTGGCACCTTTCACCCTTCTTTCGGGCTCGGGTCCAACCCTAAACTCTAAACCCTAAACCCTAAACCCCAAACCCTAAACCCTAACGAGGGTTTCAGTTTCGGTCTAAGGATGTAGGACTTAGGTTTAGACTTCGGATTGGGATTCTAAACCCCCGAGCCGAAAATCCACAGGATCCAAAGCTGCGAAGCCAAAACCGCAACAGCCATGTAAGGAATAAGCCCTATGGTAAGCCGAAAACTTGACACAAGAGTTCCCACCCTCACACCCTCGAGAGAATTTCAAGCATTCCCTGGGGCCTGTTGGAGCACCTTCAGTTGATCCTGCAGACAACAAAGAAGAGTTTAGGGTTTAGGGTTTAGGGTTGAGGGTTGAGGGTGCGAAAAGCTTAGGTTCATAGGGCTAGGGTTTAGGGTTTAGGGCTCCGGCATTCTTAGGCTCAAGCACAACGACTGCACCGTCTGCTGTCAACTTCTCGTGCACCCCACATGCTTTCTGCAACAACTTGCCGCCAAACCAGCACACCCTAAACCCTAAACTCTAAACCCTAGTGGATACTGCCTTGTGCCAAGATGGTATGTTGTCAGTGCCCACAAAAGTATCTGGCAGAAGTCATGGTATGAAGAGTTCTCAGTTGATTCTCCGCCACCGTGGAAGGAAGTGGCGGAACAGTGTGTGTCATTGCCGCACAGAGTAGCAAGAATTGAAGGTGACCCGTCGATCGTCTCGTGCATCACTAAACCCCTCAGATGTGGGAACCAAGATGGTCTGGAGAGGAAACTGGATGTCACAGTGAAATCCCACGAACCTACGGGTGATGTATCGTTTCGTAACACACATGCGGGAGGGTTGTACCCGTTTGCTGGTTTAGGGGCGTGGCTCACGTACCGCTTGAGAGATCAATTTTCTGGGCTACCGCATCTGCTGCAAAATACGGATGATTTGGTCCAGCGATTGAAGACTTTTGAGAGTATTGTGCCCATCAAGCTGGTGAAGATTGATATCAAAGATTGCTTCATGTCTGGGACTCCGGATGTGTTGATCCAACATGGCGCTTCGATGCTAGACCCTGCGTTTCAGAAAGTTGGCTAGGATGTTATTCGATTCCTCCTCTGCCACCAATATGTAAGGTCTCAGCAACCTCCAGACAAAGTGTGACGTGTTTTAGTCGGCGCTGGCATGAGGCTCAACTTTGCAGGAGATGTAAGTGATGCCGCGTTTTATTTGATGTCTGAAACATGGTTTGTCAACAACATTGATATCAAGACTCAAGTCGGCATCCTCATGTATGCTATATTTTGGGATGATGTGTTTATGATCTTGCGAGATGGCCAGCACTGGTTGATTTCATGCAGAAGTGGCGTGAGAAAGCAGGCAGTTTCAAACTAACGGTGGAGGCTATCAGCAAATCTGACTGTGCTTGACCTCGATCTTGGCTATCACTAAACAAAGAGCTGAAGACTGCCACTGGAAGTGCAAAGTCGGCTTCAAAGCCCATTTCAAACCAACTTCTCTTGGAGTGCCACTCAGCACAGCCAGTTCACATCCATGGCATGTGCCTGCGAGTTGGCCGTTTGCACAGATCAAAAGGTTGTATAGTTTGAGTTGTAGCCATGGTGCTTTCATGTATGCGAAGCATGTGTTTGCACGCAGGCTGCATGACAATTTTGAGCCAACAGAATACATGGATGGAGGGAGCATACATCACGTATACGACTTGAAACGCCGCACTTGAGTGTGATGTGGATGGTCGTACCATATCATTATGTGTGGGAAGCCGCATGTTTGGCGAAAAAAGCCAACCAGTTTTTGCATTCCCCTGAAGCAAACATCTTATGGGCCAAAGCTTGGGGCAAGATCCCTGAGTTCAGGATTGGTTTGGCATGGAAGGTCACCAATCCACCCGCGGCCACTTTTTTTACATCTTTGCAAAGGAGGTTGGATGGGGAGGTGGCGGCTTAACAATAATACTGTTGCATCTCGATTTGTGCATTCCGACGGACTGAAATGTCCCGCAGCTTTGCCAGCCCGCTCATAGCGCCCAAGGGGGGTCATAGACTGCGAACAGTAGTTTCATAGCCTGGCAAAAAGACCGTCCTGCACCGCAGACATGGTGCTCTGAATCGAGTCCAGGGAGGAGGACCTTGTTGTTGTTGTTGTTGTTGTTGTTGTTGTTGTTGTTGTTGTTGTTGTTGTTGTTGTTGCTCAGAAAATCTAATTCGAACAACAGCTAGAGCAGCTAGAGTATGCTCAAGCTCAAGTTGTTGGCTGCTTCTCCGCTTTTGGGGACGCTGCATGGCTGCAAAGCTGCCCTCGGGTACCATGGCCACCTTTGTTGAAGACACTTCTGACCCCGAGCCATCCCGAGCCCACCCGAGCGAAAACACGCACTGAAGTTGCAACTTTTCAGAGTGTCAGGCTCAGGGCCGCTGTAAGCGCGCCACGATGACGGGCTCAGGCGGAAGCCCAGCAAAGCCGCAGCCTGAGAGACAAGCGGTCACGACATCAACACGGATGCGACTGGCATTTCAGCCAGCGGCCAAGATTGGTCTCGGCATCTGCCAGTGTGACTTCGAACCTCTGCAGCACCAAATCAACTCAAGAGGCCAGCAGGGCCGTCTACCAAGATCGTCTAAGCTGCTTGCCCCCCAGTGGCTTCCGATGCCTTGCCCGCAAGCATGCCCCGGCAAAGCAGACAACAGGGAAGGAACTGAAAAACAGAAATTGGGGAAGCCTGCCTCCAGCCCAGTGCCTTTTCGAGCAGCACGCCCACCTCACTCCGGACCACGGACGCTGATCTGCAAAGTTGTATGCCGCTCACGCCAGCTATGCTCAACGAGAGCTCCACGTGCCAGAGCTTGGATGGCTGTGGCCGCGCTCTCCTGGGTCTCAACCTTGTCGATGGCCTGGGCCTTCTCCTTGCGAGCAAATATTTCTGAAGCATGCTGGAGTGATGCCAGCCAGCATCTGCACAGGCCTCTGCCTGAGGGATCTGAAGGCGGAGGCCTCACGGTCGGCGAAAACGCCGGATGCAATCTGCGACGCACTTCCCTCACCCAAGTGCCATGTGCTGGGAGCAGTGCTGACCGGTCGAGCTTTCATGCTTTGCCTCAGAGCGAAAGGCCATGTTTACAACAGCATCGGGTGGTGGAGCGACCGCAGTGACCTTTGTAGGCACCGGACTTGAATGTCTCAGGATTCAGATCTTTGATCTCTACCCCATTCAGCGCCAACAGCAAGTGCCCCGTCTAAATCTTGTGCCTGAGCTCAGAAAAACGGATTCGGAACACAGCCAGGGTACGCTCAAGCTCATTGTTGCTGGCTGCTTCTCCACTTTTGGGGATGCTGCGTGGCTGCAAAACTGCCCTCGGATACCTTCGCCACCTTTGCTGAAGACACGTCTGACCCCCAGCCATCCCGAGTCCATCCGAGAGCCAACATGCACTGAAGTTGTTTGTCCGGCTGAGAGCTGCTGTAAGCACGCCACGATGACGGGCTCAGGCGGAAGCCCAGCGAAGCCACAGCCTGAGAGACAAGCGGTCACGACATCAACACGGATGCGACTGGCATTTCAGCCAGCGGCCAAGATTGGTCTCGGCATCTGCCAGTGTGACTTCGAACCTCTGCAGCACCAAATCAACTCAAGAGGCCAGCAGGGCCGTCTACCAAGATCGTCTAAGCTGCTTGCCCCCGAATGGCTTCCGACGATGCCTTGCCCGCTGCAAACACACAACAGGGAAGGAACTGAAGAACGGAAACTTGGGAAGCGTGCCGCCATCTTGATGGTGGCCAAGAGCCTCTGCACCTCCCGGTCCAGGGTGCTTCTCAGACTCTGCAGTACCCTCTTCCAGAAGTGAGTGAATGAGTGAATGGGCGATGAAACAAGCCAGTAAAAGTCGCATTCACGCCTGCGCCTTTACCTTTAGTAATTATCTAATTTCACCCTGGCACTCATTCCTTTCGCTCAGTTACTAAAATATAAATCTTCTTGGCCGCTAGAAAGGTCATGCAATAGTTGTAGTTATTTTAATTGGCTTTGGCGCTGTCTTACCGTTCATACGCTTTAACATTCACATCTTCATTCGCACGCTTTTTCAAGGATTTTGTCTATTCCTGGTTTACTTTTCTCACTACAATCTACATTTTATGCGTTTTAAAAGCTCCGGACAGATGGCCAATCTCAACGCTGTGTTTGGAGATCACCTGGCTCTTCAGTGCATTGAACTGAACTCCCGTCGGGACAAGGCGGCATGCGCAAAGGCACAGATCAACAGCTTGGCTCCAAGTCGCCGGAGCTGTCAAACATGGCCAGATGTCGGAACAGCTTGACACAGCCACCTCGCAACGCGATTAGGCGGTTAACATCCTCCTCTTGCATATGGGAATCCAGCAGCGACTGGAGGTTGGCCACAAGATCTGGCAGGCTGCAGGCCGCAGATTGTACGACAAAGATGGGCTCTTCAATGGATCGGAAATCTTTGATGTATTTGTTGATAACAACATCGTCCAAAAAAGTCTGGCTAGGCACATGTGTAAGTACACCCTGCCGGCTGTTGATGTGAGTGTTGATGGGGCCAGCTTCCTCTACCACACCAGTCAGCTAGTTCTTCGCATCATGACTCTTCCGCCTCAACGGCAAAGGGGAGTGAGCCAACAAAACTTCGAGCTGCCAGGCTGACGGCCAGCCCAGCAACACCCAAATGCAAAGACCAGGTGGGGCCGGAGGCCAAAGAAGTAGGCCAAGGGCAGCATGAAGATGCTCATCGTGATGGGAGCTGGAAGAGCAATCAGGAAAGGCCGCGCCAGCAACGCGGCCTGCGAGATCTCCACCTGCCATTCCACCTAGCGTGATTCGCTGGAGGCGCCGGCTTGCAAACCGGGACGGGCCCCAGTGTTTCCCAGATCGAACAGAAAGACTAAATGGTCTGCCATGGTCGCCTCTTCACAGTGCTGCCTAACCCGCTGAAATGCATGCTGCGGTGTGCATCTACCGAAGCCTAGGAAAGTAGAAGAGCCCCTCACGCACGACCCTCTACCAAAAACGAGTCAACGAGCGTCCCCCGGCCCGACTACAAGTGAACTCCAGCAGACATGACAGCCCATGCGGCCCACTGTGAAACCGTCTGAACCCTGTACTGCCTTGGCAGAGCTTGTTCGCCTTGGACGCGGGCACAGCTAGCGATTCCGCGGTATGGCGTTAAAACTGGCTGACGCCATGCAAGTCTGAAAAGTTGGACTGGGAATTAGAACTTTACCTACTGGTAACTGGGTCGCTGCGCGAGAGGAAATTAGGAACCATGGCAGGCGCCTTGAGGCAGACGAGGGGGCTTCCTTGTAAACCACAGTGCAAATTTTTTTCGAGAGAGAAGAGGATCCGGGGCTCTAATCCTGAAAGAAGGTCTAAACTCCGAGCCCGCACTCCATGTCTATGCATTCCTAAGTTTGCGTTTGCCAAACCTCATTTTAGCAGCTACACCTGGCTGGACTGGGGCACAATCCCCCATGCGGACGGAGCGTAACTGAGCAAGTCAACACGGCTCAGGCTTCTAAACCCTATAACCCCCAAAACCCCAAAGCCGAAACCCCAATAATTGAGACAAGTACGGCCCGCTACAGCGACATGAGCCCTCGCAATTCTGGCAGGACTTGTCTGGCCCTGCATCCGAAAGTCCAAGCGCCAGACCAGCGCACCAACAAACATGGCAACAACAACGAGGTCCCCTTTAGGGTAGGGCTGCGGCGGGAGTGGTCCCGGATGGTCCCAGATTGCGCCAGCTTGGCGTTGATCTTTTCCTGAGGTTGTCAAGCTGTCTGGTGAGCGTTGTCAGCTCTTGTAGTCTTTCGGATTTGTAGGGCTCTTTAAACTTTGGAGTAAAGAAAAAATCGAAGTCTTAGGGTCCTAGTGTTGAGGCTTCGCATTACGCATGTGTGCGGCATGAGGTCACGCCAGGATTCGATGAGCCAACGAAAGTACGGCCACAGAGCAGCCTGGCACTTCGAAGCGGACACGGGTTTAGGGTCTAGGGCTTAGGGGTTGAATCGAAAGCCCTCCAGCAAGCCGGCCGACTTGAAGAGGTTCAAAACCCGAAATGCCAAACCCTAAACCCAATCACCTGGTTTAGGGTATACTCTATAAGGCTTCAAACCTCAGAAACGAAACCCCAAGCCCCTCAAAGCTAAACCCCGGTGAACTAAAAATAGAACCCAGACCTAATGCCCTGTAACAAAAGGGCTTTCAAACCTGAGCCCCACCTGCCGAAGGCGTCCCGAACCGCCTTGGCCTGGTCCAGCGGCCTGGCGAGCATTGGCAAGCTGCGCATGATTTCTGTTTAGGGGTTCGAGCTTGTGGGGGTTCGAGCTTAGCACTTTTGAGACCCCTTCCGAACCTCATTTGGTTATCGTTCGGAAGGAGCCCTTCCAAACCTTGTTTGGCTATCATTCGCAAGGAGCCCTTCCGAACCTTATTTGGTTATCATTCGGAAGGTGCCCGTCCGAACCTTGTTTGGCTATCATTCGCAAGGAGCCCTTCCGAACCTTATTTGGCTATCATTCGGAAAGCGCCCTTCCGAACCATATTTGGCTATCATTCGGAAGGTGCCCGTCCGAACCTTGTTTGGCTATCATTCGCAAGGAGCCCTTCCGAACCTTATTTGGCTATCATTCAGAAGGCGCCCTTCCGAACCATATTTGGCTATCATTCGGAAGGAGCCCTTCCGAACCTTGTTTGGCTATCATTCGCAAGGAGCCCTTCCGAACCTTATTTGGCTATCATTCGGAAGGAGCCCTTGCGAACCTTATTTGGCTATCATTCGGACGGAGCTCTTCCGAACCTTATTTGGCTATCATTCGGAAGGAGCCCTTCCGAACCTTACTTGGCTACCATTCGGAAGGAGCCCTTCTGAACCTTAGTTGGCTATCATTCGGAAGGCGCCCTTCCGAACCTTATTTGGCTATCATTCGGAAGGAGCCCTTCCGAACCTTGCTTGGCTATCATTCGCAAAGCGCCCTTCCGAACCTTATTTGGCTATCATTCGCAAGGAGCCCTTCCGAACCTTACTTCGCTATCATTCGGAAGGCGCCCTTCCGAACCTTATTTGGCTATCATTCGGAAGCAGCCCTTCCGAACCTCATTTGGCTATCATTCGGAAGGAGCCCTTCCGAACATTGTTTGGCTATCATTCGGAAGGAGCCCTTCCGAACCTTACTTGGCTATCATTCGGACGGCGCCCTTCCGAACCTTATTTGGCTATCATTCGGAAGGCGCCCTTCCGAACCTCATTTGGCTATCATTCGGAAGGAGCCCTTCCGAACCTTGTTTGGCTATCATTCGGAAGGAGCCCTTCCGAACCTTACTTGGCTATCATTCGGACGGCGCCCTTCCGAACCTTATTTGGCTATCATTCGGAAGGCGCCCTTCCGAACCTCATTTGGCTATCATTCGGAAGGAGCCCTTCCGAACCTTGTTTGGCTATCATTCGGAAGGAGCCCTTCCGAACCTTACTTGGCTATCATGTGGACGGCGCCCTTCCGAACCTTACTTGGCTATCATTCGGAAGGCGTCCTTCCGAACCTTATTTGGCTATCATTCGCAAGGAGCCTTTCCGAACCTTACTTGGCTATCATTCCGAAGGCGCCCTTCCGAACTTTATTTGGCTATCATTCGCAAGGAGCCCTTCCGAACCTTACTTCGCTATCATTCGGAAGGCGCCCTTCCGAACCTCATTTGGCTATCATTCGGAAGGAGCCCTTCCGAACCTTGTTTGGCTATCATTCGGAAGGAGCCCTTCCGAACCTTACTTGGCTATCATTTGGACGGCGCCCTTCCGAACCTTATTTGGCTATCATTCGGAAGGCGCCCTTCCGAACCTTATCTGGTTATCATTCGGAATCGGGGAGCTGGTCGGGGTTTCAGGGTTTCAGGATTCAGGGATCAAGGATATTATTCGCTGTTGCAATGACGGGCTGGAAAGAATCATATTCGCCTTGAAACCAGTGAGTCCTCCTCATTCATGGCAAGATGTTGTTTTCGGCTTAACACAAGCTTACACGGCGAAAGGAAGCGGGGAGGTTAGGGCCAGGTGGGATTTGCAAACGCGGCGCTTTGTACGACGGGCTCTGACAGGACCAAGGGACCACGCCCAACCAAAAAAGGGCCCCCGCCACACCTACCCCGGCTCTAGGGCGGTCTCCCTCAAGCAGGGCCTTGGCGAGTCCGGCTCAGGATCCGATGGGACTTTGAGGGTTCCTTCCAGCCTGCAGGATGTGCTACCAATACAGACTCCGAAATGAGCAGTTTCGCGTGCAAGGGACCGAGGCGAACACAGCATGCGGATGGGACGTGGGCAGCAGTGTGATCCAAAGCTTGCGCAGCGTCCAGAACGTTTTGGGTACGATACCTGAATTGCTGAAACAGAATTGCTGCTGGGCACAGAACTTGATGTCGCACACATTGGCCACCTGGCAACAGACGCACAGTGGGCTCAGTGCTTAACGAGCACGAGATGCAAGACTGGACAAGCACCTCCAAGAAGCAGAAGTGTCCTAGACTCCCTAAAAACCCCTTCAACCACCTAAAAGCCCCCAAACCTCCAAGATCCCCTGAATCCGCCAGGGCAGGGGGGTCAGGCGGGAAAACCTGCAAAAAACTGATTTTTGAGCACCCGCCTGGCCTGGCCTGGGTTTAGGCCTAAACCTCCTAAACCCCCCTGAACCCTAAACCCTGGCGTTTAGGGGTTTAGGGCTCTTGACTCGTCATCCCCTTTTCTTCCTCCCCCAAAAAACATCCCAGCTCCGAAAACCTCATAGGAACCCCAAACAGGACCACAATATAGGGTTTAGGGTTTAGGGTGTAGGGTTTAGGGTTTAGGGTTTGCCAAAAGGACCGCAAGCTTGGCTCCGCACGCGAGCGGCTGCTTGGCTGCATGTGGGCATCGCGCTCCTCTTGGGGTGGTTTCATGGGCCCCTCATGTGGTCCCTTGACCTCCCTGCAAGGGTTCTCATGGTCCCTTAAGTTGTATAGGGTGTAGAAGGGGTGCCCTTTGAAGGGCCCATTTATTAAGGGACCATGCAGCTACCCTTAGAGCTCCTCAAGGGGCTTTGAACTTCAGGGTTCAGGGTTCAGGGCTGAGGGCTCAGGGCCTTGAGTAAATAATCGAGAAGATGATCCTTTAAATGGTGTTTCATAATCTAGAAAAATCAATTCAATCTATTGGCTTAATTACTAAGAGGGGGTTCTGGGTTTGGGGCCCTGGGGGGGGGGGGGGGGGGGGGGGGGGGGGGGGGGGGGGGGGGGGGGGGGGGGGGGGGGGGGGGGGGGGCGGCAAGTGTTCAGCACCTTAGCAAGAGTGCAGGGCATCATGCCGTGCGACATGTTCAGAGCAAGAGAGACGACCAATCAACTAGATGATGTAGCTACCCTAACCCTAAACCCTAAACCCTAAACCCTAAACCCTAAACCCTATACCCTAAACCCCCCTAAACCCTAAACCCGAATTTAGAAAAGCGCGCATGGCGAGCTGTCTGAGGAAAGTTTGCTCCTGGCTCCAAAGTCTCGAGCGCCCGCCGCTGGTGCCGGCACTATCCTGCACCAGGCAAAACCCAAGAGCTTTGCACCTACATGCCCGAAACCATGTAATGCCCAAAGCCTACCCTAAACTCTAACCCTGAACCCTAAACCCCTAAACCCTAAACACCAAGAGTCTCAAAACCCATGTCCTTGGCGACCAGGCCCTGGCCATCGGCAACAGCGCACTGTAGGCTCGAAGAGGTGTCATGCTTTATGGTTTAGGGTTTAGGATTTAGGGGTTTAGGGGTTTAGGGGGTTTAGGGGTTTAGGGGTTTGGGGTTTAGTGTTTAGGTTCGCGGCATCATTCTGTAGGGGGTTTAGGGTTCAAGGCTGAAGGTTGGAGCTTTGAGTTTAGGGTTTAGGGCGTAGGGGCTTAGGGTGTTTGATTCAGGGGTTAAGGCTGTCGTGCTTGGGATGATGTCAAAGTCGCAGCAGGGCCATGAACATCCAATACCTCTCCCCTTCCACATCCCTACACGCTCAACACCCGACCTGAGTCCGAAGCTTCAGACGACGACTCTGAGACTTTAGGGTTTAGGGTTTAGGGTTAAACCCTAAACCCTAAGCCCCAAACCCCCTACACCGCAAATCTCAGACGGCAACGCTTTTACTCTTTCAACCAGTTAGAGGCTGCAGACCATCCGTGGGTTTCATGAGCGTACCCCCGGTTTAGGGTTTAGGGTTTAGGGTTTAGGGTAGGTTTTTGGGTTTAGGGTTTAGGGTTGAAAACATCTGCGGAAAAATGATGTCTGGCCACAGATTTAGGTATAGGAGGGCTTGGGGGTTTTGGGGTTTATATAGGCTAAAGGTTTAGGGTATATCGGCCAGAATGGGATCCGTCGTTTCCGCTACAGTGTGTAAAGGCAAACCCAGGCTCATTTTGCAACTGCACCGCTTTTCAAGAATCCGGAACACTAGCGTGCACATGCTACTGAAGCAACGGTTTGGGGTAAGGGTTTAGGGTTTAGGGTGTAGGGTGTAGGGTTTCGGGTTTAGGGTCTAAGGTGCTGGCTTCATCACAACCCCACAACCCGGCTCTGGAGAACCAAGCCCGTCTGTTCTTCAGAAGCGAAACTCTCAAAACAAAATGTGAAAGACCATGTCTGCTTTCTGCTCCAAAAACATTTTTTTGCAAGCCACCTGCATTGATTAGACATATGACTCGGAATCTCTTTAGTTCTTCTAGACTCTTAGACAGCTTTGAACGACTTTCCGCCATATCCCAAGACTCCATGTAATAAGCACCTATGGATTTCCATCTCACTGAAAAGTAGAGAAGGCCTTGGTAGGGGCTACGTTAGACACCGGCAAAAAAGAGAGTCCTCATTGCGAGGACATGAGCATGGCAGGGCTCGATAAATTCCTGAGCGATAACCTTCCGACTAAGATGTCAACTTGCTGCTGTCTTGCATAGAACACCCTGCCGTGCCTTGGAATGTACCTGTACCTCAATGACTCAAGCCCACAAAATCAAAGCAAAATTGGCGCCAACCTTTTCGTGGAGACCATTGGAGCCTCAAGGGCAGGACAATCTCCAGGCCTGGGGCTACAGAGGAACCAAGGCTTAAGGCTTGGGGCTCATGAAAAGCCCATCGTGTCCCGTTTTCCGGTCCCTCAACGACTTTTTGCCTAGGCGAGCAGCGTCGCAGCTTCTAGCAACAAACTGCCAATGGGCCTAAAGGGGTCTCTCAAGAATAGGGGTAGACGTCAGGATATCCAGAAAATACTCACCAAACATTGCTACGGGCATTACACGGCCAGCCCTGAAGGCCACAGCAGCCTTACGTGACAAGGGGCGGGCCATGTCCCTAGGGACCTGGCGAAAGGCTGAGATACACAAGCCGACGGCTGCTCACTGCTCACTTCGTCGCCTGAATGGCCTCATAGTCGGCCGAATACGGATAACAGCTGTTGTAAAACAGCTTCTGGAAGCGACAAAAAGTGCCGCGTAGTGGCCAAAGACCTGCGGCTAGCCGCAGCTGCCACAGGCTTTGGCGCATGCCTCAGGGTAAGGAATCCCACCCATGGTCACGCTTGGATTGTTGCAATACTGGGTGTAGGAGTCACAGTTGCTGAAGACGTCCATGCAGGGCGGAGGGATGTCGCAGAAGCCGCACTTCGTTGCGCAAGCCTCAAGGATTGGTAGCCCGTTGATGTTCCATCCTAAGGCGAAACAATGTGTGGCTCTGTTTTTATTTGAGATGGGGGGGGAGGGGTTTAGGCTCCCGGACTACTGACTACTATAGGGCTCCCCCCAAAACCCCACAGAAACTTTCTCTAGCACTCTGGCACTATGAGTAATTTTTATCATGGGTTTAGGGTTTAGGGTTTAGGGCTTAGGGCTTAGGGTTTAGGGAAGAAAAGTAGGAGGAGGCTGCTCCGGGCTTCCGAGGAGCCAACGAAGCAGTTTTGATGAAGTTCCTGAGTTTCATGACCCGCACTTCGAACACATCTTGTCAGAGAGGCCGCCGGAACTCCCTAAACTCTAAACCCTCAAGCCGAAGCTCTCAACCCTAACCTTTACACCCTAGCTTGAAAAGCAGTCTCTCAAATGACAGCTTGGCATCCACGTAGTCCTTGCACCACCACGCCTCGTCAGGATTGCAGGCTTCGGACTGTTCACTCTCCTGCGCCGTTGTCGTAGTCTCTGTGGTGGTGCTGGTGGCGGTGCTGGTGGAGGTAGTGGTGCTGGTGGTGGTAGTGGTGGTGGTGGTGGTGGTGGTAGTGGTGGTGGTTGTGGTGGTGGTTGTGGTTGTGATGGCTTTGCAGTAGCAGTACTGCGTGCCTTCAATCTCAAAGCAGCCATGTTGGAGACCCACCGGGCAGCCACAGGCACCGGAAGTCCCGTAGGGGTAGCTAGGGCACTTGTTCTGGCAGCGGTTGCAGCCTTGGTCGTCGGTGGTCTTGATGACTTCGTCCAAGGCACTTGCATCCTGATGGCAGCCGCAGTCCTCAATCGTGCAGCCTTCTGGGTGGGTGGTGCACAGCTTGAAGTGGTCGATCTCGTCCAGGCACCCGTACATCGAGCCTACCTGCCTGGCATCTTGGTGTGTGAGGCCCATCCTGTTGCCCATGACGACGTTCGACCCATATGGGGAGTCCACAGCCTCCATGGTCTTCATCTTCTTCCCGTCCGCATCGGTCTTCCCGAAGGCCGTGTCGCTGTAGTGCATGAGCGAAAGCCTTACGTAACACACACGCAAAATCAACACATGGATCTCCACATGCATGTATAAACTTTGGCCAGTACGCTTGTGATCCCCCACTCCCCCAGAAAAAAAAAACACCACATCAAAGTCATCAAAGGGTCTAGGTATTCAAATGAATCAAGAAGCATGTCGTAAGGGATCGTCTTGTCCCCTGAATCGCTGGTGTCGTAGTTGTGTTTCTTGCTCTCCTGGATGTTGTCCCAAAGGATCTTCACGTACCTTGAAATACTTTTCTGGCACAAGAAGTTCTGTGTTGCAGCCACTTCGCGGGGTGCCTAGGGCGCTTAGGGTACCTCTACCTCTTTTTGTTGTTCCCGTCTCTCTTTCTTTCTTTATTTATTTCTTTCCTTCTTTTCTTTCTTTCCTGCTTTTCTTTCTTTCCTTCTCTCTTTCTCTCTCCCCCTCTCTCTCTCTCTCCCGCTCTCTCTCGCGATCTCTCTCACTCTCTCTCTATCTCTTTCTCTCTCTTTCTCTCTCCTGCTCTCTCTCGCGATCTCTCTCTCTCTCTTTCTCTCGCTTTCTTTCTCTTTCTCTCTCTTTTTCTCTCTCTTTCTCTCTCTTTCTCTCTTTCTCTCTCGATCTCTCTCGATCGATCAACACCCAATAGCTCAAGACTCCCAGCGGTCCCCAACGGACTGCTCCCCTCCTTTGAAAGGTAGCAAGAAGCACTGCCCTGCATTTGGAGATTGGCGGGGATGTACCGCAATTACCTACAAAGGGAGATTAGATCTCAAGATCCAAACAAAGGTTAGCGCGACAGTGTGGTTTTTCTGGACTCAAGGAGTCCTTCTCAGTCAGGCCCGGCTTGAACCCGAGAAGGAGAGCAAGAGGCCGGCAAACCTGAATGGCACCGAATCAAACCGAACATAAAGACACAATGATACACAATGTAACGTTCGGCTGCCCGAAGCCGAGGCTTCTCTTTGTAGGCTTTTGCGGAACGCCCAACAAAGAGCTTGCAAGCAACCTAAATGGGAGATGTTGTTGGCAAGCGAAAGCCTTGGCAGAGGAAGTCGACAAGCCAACCCACTGCTGGCCTCACGTTTAAGATGTGGGGCCTACCAGGTAAGCCGGTATCGTGGGGCCTTAGTCAGGTTTAGGGAATTTTGGGTTTCGGAGGCCAGGTTGTATCCCAGACTCTTACAGGGGAAGGGGGGATCTGAACTATAGGCATTCGGAGATCTCAATTGGTCTCTTCCATACTGTTAACTACCGCCAAAACACCCTCGCCATGAACGAGACATGACTGGTGTTGAACAGCTTGCACACGCACACCTCCAGGGTGACTTCAGGGCCGAGGCGATCGCCAGATGGAGGCGTCCTCAAGACGGATCCTGCCAAAGCTTCTGAACAGAGCCCCTTCGCCCCCTTCCCCCCAAACAAAAAACGCAAATCGACACCCCAAAATTCAGACCTCCGTTCGGAGAGACACGTGGTACACCACGCTGAAGGCGGTAGAGGACAATCCCAATTGCCAAGTGCCTCCAAAGAGAGCTTTCATATGGTCTGGGGAGCAGGGTTCCTAGAAACATTCATTACTCTCGAGAGTCCTACAGGATATTTAATTTAACAATTCCTCCGACCTTCGGAGCGGTGGGATGGCTGTACTCGTTCCATTAGGACACAGGAACTTGCAGATTGCCAGTGTCTCCTTTACTGGGTTGCGGGAATATCCAGGCTCTCCACACCTTTTTTCAGAAGGTACATGTGTGACGCACATGAGGATTCTTGGCTGCTGGGACTTCAAGGGAAGGAGTCCGCGGGGCTCCAAGGTTTGGGGTTTAGGGCCTCGGGTACACTGTCTACGCGTACAGGCCCGAAAATCCCTAGAACCTCAAGTCGAAAGCCACAACTGCCATACACATACAAAGCTCCCAAATGCCAAGCCCTAAAACCTCAAAAGAAGGTTGAGAAGGGATCCGGAAACCCCTGAAAACCAAGCCCCTCAGGTTTCATTGAGGCCTATAGGGTTGATGCAAAAGGTTCGGGGACGTGCTTTGCAGAACGCTGAGCCAACTGATGCTTCCTTTGAGTTTTCTGACTCCTCGAAATCCCCTGGGCACCCAGGATCCAAGAGCTGTAGGGCACCCAGGAGCCCTCAAAAGCTCTGCAACTTGGAGTTAAAAAAAAGGCGTGAACTTCTTACAAGCTGAAGCTGTGAATCCAAGCTTTGAGTGCCAAAAGTCAGAAATCCTCTAAAATGACGAAGGCAAAGCCCCGAAGCCCAAACCCCAAACACAAACGGGCCCCCGGCGCAAAAACCCTGGAACTACGGCCAAAGCCCCCAAGCCATAACACGAGCTGGGGCTGGTGCTAGATTCATGCCTGCTTGGCACGAGGATGAAACAGGATAATCAGTCAGACAAAGAGAGTGGGACTGGACTCCGTTGACTCCCTTCATCTGAAAACGAACCAAAGAAGAAGCCGATGACAAACTCACTGCGAGGGAGGGCCCTCACTCCGTGGAACGTCCGACCTTCTCCATGAGCCCCCCAAAAACATGCCTGAAACCTTCTGGCCCAAAGAATGCAAAAGATGATTAAAGATCAGCGAAACAACGACAACACCCTCGCGAACAGGCGCACAAGCAATGATTGAAGCCACTCTGCACCATGAGTTCTCTGAAGTTTTGAACAGACACTGAGCCGCGCGCATGCGTTCAAAGGCGGTCCGCCGAAGGGCCAACACCTGCGAATGGTCGCCGGCTTCATGCTTCATCGTGCGTCCTATAGCTAGATCTGGGTTGAGGAATGTTGTAGCGGCCAGCATTGAATAGCTATAGACTTCACCCAAGGCCTCCGTAGCCCATAAACAATCCAGGCCTCCACCTTCGAGGCCGCGGAGACCGTGGCAGAACGCACGGTCCTTTCTAGAAGCGCCTCAAAGAAAGTCGCACTAACACACCAACCAGTGTAGAACCAGCGCAAGAGATAGTGTCAGATAGTGCCTTTTTGAGGCGATTTCAGAGGGGCGGGGGAGGGTTGGGCGGGCCTCGCTCTAAAAAGTTCGACCTAGCCAGAGCATGCCATGAAACCAAAAGAATCTTGCATCTTGCCGATTCCCATTCTGGTCTGGGTGGGAGCTCATGCTGCAGCGGCTCATCCGAACTCCGGCCGGCACCTTCTCTCCGAACATGTCTCTTGTGTAGCAGCGCTTGCACTCCTGCGAGTCCATATGGTCAAAAGTAGTGCATCTGTCTTTAAGAGGGGAGGAGCGCTTGCGTTGAAGCCCCGTCGTTCTCCTGGATTTCCCTGGTCGTCGTTCGACCCGGTCTCCACCGTCACCACCTAAGCAATGGCACTCGGGGGCCCTTCTTTGCAACAAGTCGCAACGCACTCGACGTGCCCAACTAATTACGTTCCACGACAGTCGCGTGTGCTGTTCTCAGTCTCTGCGCATTGAATCGAAGAGGAAAGCCCTTGCAGGCGCCGAACGCAGGTGCCCTTCAGGACCACGTACAACCTGAGGAGGGCACGCAGCACTAAGTTACCTGCTGGGCGAACGGTACGAGTAGAAACTGTTTAGGGCCGGGCTGATCTAGTGCAACTTCAACACATTTCAACCCGAGCTGGCAGAGGATCTTGGCTTGTAACTTGCCTTGCTGGCCTTTGGACCTTTGGACCTTTAGGCATTTGGGCGCGCCACTCCGAGCCGGACTCACCCTGGCGGACGATGACCTGCAAGAGCAAACCGCATCGTGCAATGTGGAGATCATCGAAGAGTCGATACAGCACAACATCACCTTGACAACCCGCTCAACATCTAGGATCCCTGGAGCCCATATTCGAGGCCTCACCCTCTTCGAAGCACTTCTTTTCCAACCTGGGGGGGGGGGGGGGAGCAAATCAGCTTTGGAGCACCCTTTGCGCACCCCTAAACCCTATAACTATAACCCTTAAACCCTAAACCCTGCACTCGGAACAAGGCAGTGGCTTGCTTTGCTTGCCCTGGATCTGAAGCCCCTGGCGCATCTGCCAGCTGAGCGATCTCTTCGTCATCGAGCCTGAGTGTTCAAGGCCATTAAAGAATGCCGCTTAGACCACCCTGAACTGTGCCAACGAAAAAGGAAATTTCTGAGCCCGACGCGTGCGATCTGCTTTTCGCGCCTGGTGGTATTGCATGTGGCCTTTGCAACTGAACACGACAAGATTGAACCATCCGATGCCTGCATCTTGAGACGCTCAGCTTCTTGAACAGATGCAGGAAATTTTCAACACTGACACCCATCCCAAAATCACAACAAAATCCAGGAAGGTCCCAAAAGTCCCGGCAAACCAAGGCAAGCTCCGCCGAAGTTGGTAGCTGGGATGGGGCGCACCCTGGCGCCTGTTCCGGGCGCTGATTTTTGCTTTGTTAACAGGTTTTTACGTTTCGGGTTTTGATTGGCAGCCGCTTTTCCCTTCTTCGTTTAGGAATTGGGGGCCTTCAAGAATTCAGGTCTGAAAGGTGTTGTGCTTTAGTTGCCACCTGCAGGATGGGAGTAAAAGAGCTGTTCCTGGAACAAAAAATAACGAGCACCCTCCTGCACAAAAATTCCCGAACCGCCCGAGCGCAAAAGTTGCGATCTTTAACACGATTTGTAGCGAATGCTACAAACATTCGTCTCGCAGCTCTCATCATGAGTCCAAACCGTTCAGAACCGTGATGTGCGTTTTTATGCAAACAACGAACACGAAGAGACAAGGCTGTCAGCCGCCCTAACCGCCGTGCCTCTGCATAGCCCATAGCAGCCATGGCTTGCAGGATTGCGCAGGCTAAGAAAATGATGTGGTTGGGGTACTCTGATTGATCTCTCAGGGTGCGACAATGTCCGAGCTTCGCTGGCTTCTCTACCGTGTGCGCGGGATCGCCTGCTTAAGTCTCTCGCAGAGCCGATTATAAGTCTAGCAGCGGACCCATCATGAAGTGCCAAACGGCTTGCAAGTTTTGTGGGATTCACACTCCGTACTTCGAGGCTATAAGAAGCAAATTGACTCAAAGCCCAGCAAGCCCCCTTCACAACGTCGATCACGAAAGCTGCTGTTTGAGAGCCTCGTGTTATAATCTGCGGTCTGCAGCCCTCGTGGTGTTTGGGCTTGGATTGGCGTGCGCGCTCTTTAATCCGGCGGGTGTGTATCACAACTGCCCCACGCACATCTAGCAGAGCAGTACATTGATGCCTCAAGGAACCAAGCTGTTGCATGCCTGGTGACTCGGTGACCTGCAAGACTGACACTTAGGTACAAAGAAACGTAGTTTTGCACGGGCGTGTCGCAATCAAACTCAAGAACAAAAAAACCACGCGACGTGATGAGCAGGGTGATGCTTGGATGCAAGGTTGGACATCAGGCTACTTCGGAAGTTGGGGTTAATCGCTCGTACCGCAAAGATGCCACAACGTTGAAACCTGAGCGCGCAGCTCATGTTTGCCAAACCCTGCTTGCAACCATTAAGACTCAAAACGTTCCGATGACATTTTATCGGTGTAGACCCGGAAACAACAGAAAAATCATTGCCTTAGCAAGTTGCCGTGCGCAAAAGCGCTGCCGGCATAGACCCCCAAGCAGTGTACGACCACTTCAAGAATCTTCCACGAGAGCGCACGTCAGCAACACGCCAGGACCTCTGGAAGAAAATTCTAAGATGACCCCAAAAAGAATGTGCTCCCGCCTCGATCCCGTGCACCCTTGCAGGATTGAGTCGCTCCGCGTTGCGACGACGTACGAGTAGCGGGGACGCACCTTGCTGACATTAACTCTCTCTTGGACTGTTGCATGGGCTGCCTTCATGCGTCCGTCGTCTAAGCGATGTGCATTTTCCGGGGTTGCAAGCAGCGCTCTCACCTGTGCCCCGTGGTCCTGATCCTGGCGCGAACTGCCGTCTCTTGAGGGTCCCTTGTTGGTCTTGAGTGAGCCTTGGAGTGTCAAGTTTCAACATTTGTGATGCTAAAACACCAGTTTCAGGCATATTCTACACCCCAACAGTTGGGGGTCGAGAGCGCAGGCGCCACGACGCGAAAAAACACATGCTGTTTGGACGCCGTCCGATGTCTGCGGGCTCTCCAGCACACACGGCTTCGGGATTTGGAATGAGCGTCGGAGAAATATACATATACCATACATAGAAAAACCATAAAGTGCATTTGTGCATTTGCGCGTGCTGCGGGGTCCATCTGCCAAATGCTTCTGAACGTCGGAACCTGGCAGTGCAAACGCAGCTCGAGGAAACATTCCCTTTTCCCACGATCGATAGCACTCACGTCTGGTAGCAGCATCTGATCCAAACCACCGGGCCTCGCAGGCTGCTTCGTTGGCGATTTCCCTTCTCTAGTTAACCCTACTCAATCCTAAATCCAAAGCCCGCCCATGTGCTTGAGTGCTGGGGAGCTGCACAGGTCCATGGAGATTCTTGCGGGCATTGAGGCTCAGGTTGAGGGATCAAGTCGACACTATCCTGAATCAACCCTAACCCCTTAACCCTAAAAGCTCGACATTCAGCTTGGAGTGCGCCGCCACTACATAAACCCTACAGGGACCCCCTTGCTGTACCACCTTCTTGGTAGCCCAGTAACCATATTACAAGAAGGGTACCACAGATCTCAAAGAGCGGTCATGTCATGAGAGGGAGCCGGATTGGCTCAGCGGAGACGAGACAAAAGCTTCTGGACTTCCAGAAGTAAAGTTCTGGCGTCATTGGCCTCAGAGTTTAACGAATGAGACAAACAAGGGCGCTTGCAAAATGAAGCGAGTCGCTTAGCGAAGTTGGGACACCTAGTGAGACACGAAATGCAAAACCCATCTCTGCACGTAAGGTCAAAGGGAACATAGCAATGCTTGCCCTTCTGCCAGAAACCTATTAATGCCTCTGCACTTACAGGGGGCCCTATAGGTGCGAAAAGCTATAGAAGCTCAGGGTTTAGGGATCAGGGTTTAGGGCAACTTGGTTCTCTGAAACCTGGTCCCTTGAAGGCTGCATGATAAGAGGTACCCGCCTCCCCCCCCCCCAAGGGATACGAACTTGGAGAACCCACCCCCCCCCCCCCCAGTGGCAGTTCGACATCAGGGTTTCGAGGTGGTATGAGCTTCGGGGTGTATACGTTCGGCTTAGGGGGCTTAAGAGTGTTATTTGGGGTTTGGGGCGGCTTAGAAGAGTTTAGTTTAGGGTTTAGGGTTTAGGTGGGGTGGACCGCACTGTGATGGTTAGAAGCATGTCCAGCTATGTCTTACACAGCCCGAGACGGCAAAGCTGCCTGCACGCGTGCGGCAAGTGTGGCCAGCTGCGTGCGCAGCTCCGTTACCTGCCAAACGGATCGACTCATGGGTTTAGGGTTTTTGGGTTAAGAGTATACGGGGTTTAGGGTTTTGGGTTTGGGGTTGGGGCCCGCCAACAGCCAGACAAGCGTGCCTCTGCCGCACGCTGCATCTCGGCCTGATATCGGCTCAGCCTACATAAACCCTACACCCCCTTGTGTACCACCTTCTTGGTAGCCGAGTAACCATATTACAAGAAGGGTACCCTAAACCCTAAACCCTAAACCCTTTTTGGTACTCATTAATTACTATAAGGGAACCCATAACCCAAAAAGGGCACCTGGCACCTTTCACCCTTCTTTCGGGCTCGGGTCCAACCCTAAACTCTAAACCCTAAACCCTAAACCCTAAACCCCAAACCCTAAACCCTAACGAGGGTTTCAGTTTCGGTCTAAGGATGTAGGACTTAGGTTTAGACTTCGGATTGGGATTCTAAACCCCCGAGCCGAAAATCCACAGGATCCAAAGCTGCGAAGCCAAAACCACAACAGCCATGTAAGGAATAAGCCCTATGGTAAGCCGAAAACTTGACACAAGAGTTCCCACCCTCACACCCTCGAGAGAATTTCAAGCATTCCCTGGGGCCTGTTGGAGCACCTTCAGTTGATCCTGCAGACAACAAAGAAGAGTTTAGGGTTTAGGGTTTAGGGTTTAGGGTTTAGGGTTTAGGGTTTAGGGTGCGAAAAGCTTAGGTTCATAGGGCTAGGGTTTAGGGTTTAGGGCTCCGGCATTCTTAGGCTCAAGCACAACGACTGCACCGTCTGCTGTCAACTTCTCGTGCACCCCACATGCTTTCTGCAACAACTTGCCGCCAAACCAGCACACCCTAAACCCTAAACTCTAAACCCTAGTGGATACTGCCTTGTGCCAAGATGGTATGTTGTCAGTGCCCACAAAAGTATCTGGCAGAAGTCATGGTATGAAGAGTTCTCAGTTGATTCTCCGCCACCGTGGAAGAAAGTGGCGGAACAGTGTGTCATTGCCGCACAGAGTAGCAAGAATTGAAGGTGACCCGTCGATCGTCTCGTGCATCACTAAACCCCTCAGATGTGGGAACCAAGATGGTCTGGAGAGGAAACTGGATGTCACAGCGAAATCCCACGAACCTACGGGTGATGTATCGTTTCGTAACAAGGCTGCAAACTGGCCCCCTCGCTTTTCTCCCTGGTCATAACGGAGGCGTTCCGGCTTATGGCAACCCACATAGGGTTCCCTCCCATACAGCAGTTCCTCACAGGGTTTGCGGATGATCTCGTCATTCACCGGGACATCCACAACTGGTCCGACCTCTACGCGGCTCATGACATGGTAAGACTTTTACTGCACTATCTGCAAGAAGCCGGACTAGAGGTAAACTATGCAAAGTGCAACATTATGGTCAAATTGGCCGGTCGCCATGCACAGCAGGCCAAGAAGCTCTTCAAGTCACAGGAGCTGCGCTCGGGCCGGAAAGTTACGGTCTGGAACATAGATGCCCCAAAACAGCCTAGGCGGCCAGTTCTGCTTTCAGTTCTTCCCCCACTTCCCTCCCTTCCTTCGTTCGAGCTGGTAGACTCCTTTAAGTATCTTAGGGTAATGGTCAGCTACTCAAACCCGGAGGATCTCACTTTCTCCTTAAGACAAGAGAGAGCGGCGAAGAAAAAGCAGACAGTGCGCAAATTCATTCACAATAAGCGCAAGACAAAAACTGCATCCAGGCTGCTTGTCTG